TTAAAAATAGGAATAAACAGTTACATATTTTTATGCAGAAATTTAGAAATCTAACAATATACAGCATTGCAGCAGGACAGTCCTATGACATTTTTTTTTCTTGACAGACAAATAAATTTGGATAACAAGAATTATATTTGAGATATTGTTTTGTTTTTCAGACTTCTGCTGTTTCTGGTATTGACCCCACTCCTTAGTCGGTTTGGTCTTGGGTTCAACTGGCGTTGGGCATTCATAATGGTCTGGAGTGAGATGAAAGGAATACCTAACATAAACATGGCCCTTCTGTTTGCTTATGCTGATCACACTTTTGGATCTGAGAGAGAGAAATCACAAGTAAAGAGATACTGAATAAGTTACAAAATATTGCTGTGCATTCAAATTATGGCTTTACAGAGAGATAGCTCAACCTCATGTGGACTGTAGGGATATTTAGCTATGACGGCAACACTGGGGAGAAAAAAAAGGAACACTTTGTGACTTTCCTTTTCTTCATTCCAGCTTGGAAATTTTGTGATTCTTCTTGTAGCTAAAAATGAGTTTACCATGCTGATTCAAGGGATTGAAATTTAGAAATTATTTAAAACAGTACCTTAAACTAAGTTTGTACTCAATAATTTCACTTTTGATTATTCCAAATACCCACTTTTAAAGGCAGAACCTATTTATGGTTACCTCTTTTTACTGTCACATAGGCCACATTTAAAATGTGAGAAAATAAAACATTCTAATTGTCAAGGAAAGCTATCTCTAAGACAGTAGCCCCGATCTCTGCTTAACTAACTGAAAATATTGGTGTTACACTACCTGTGCGGCATTTCAAGTCAAGATGATTACACAGCTCTATCGGAAATTTCCTACACACCTGCCATTTCCCGTGTGTGTGTGTGTGTGTGTGTGTGTGTGTGTGTGTTTTACATGAATTTCAAGTGTAAAAGAAAGAGAAAAGAAGATGAACAAAAAAAATAATTAAAAAGATGAACAAAATATAGAGCTGAAACCACCAACTAATGTTATATGACAGACATTTCTGAAATTATATCATTTGATGCATAAAACATGACATAAATTAATTATACATTCATGAAAGAAGTTCTGAAATTATAGGAATAGAAAAGAATTTCCTAATGTTGATGTTTAAAAGTGTCTGTCAAAGCTACAAGTAACATCATAATGAATAGTAAAAAAAAAAAAAAATTCCCACATTTTAAGATTTTCAACAACACAAAAATGTCCACATTGCATATATGGAACATTGCAGTGGACGTTCTATCCGGTTAGATACAGAAAAAAAAAAACTGGATAACTTTGGAAAGAAATAAAATTACCTGTATTTGCAGATAACGCAATTATTCACATTGAAAATTTCGAACTTATTCAAAAATAAAGTAAAAACAAAAATGTCCTATGAGTTCAACAAATCTCAAAATACAAGATAAATATTAAAAAATCTTCAGTTGTTTCTATCTACTAGTAATTGATGTATATAAGCCAAAATTAAAGATATAATATTATGTGCTACCAAGAAAAAATAGAGTTTAGTATAAACTCTAATAAAATACAATGCAGGTGCTCTAGATGGAAAACTATAAAACACCAAGGAAGAAAACAAAAAGTGACCTAAAGAAATGGCAAAATATGTTGTAGTCATGCTTCAAGTTAACATTTCAAGTTGATTCAAGTTTTAATGCAATCCCTATTAAATCTCAAAAAGTTATTTGCATATATGGATACACTTATCTAAAATTTATATGAAAAGACTAAATAACTAAAATAGCAAAAATGATTGGCTTTCACAAGAAAACTAGGAGCCTGATTACCTGATAAAGTCTAAACATTTCACTAATAATTCTACATAAGAAATAGAAATGAGAGTACATTTTCTTATTCATTTTATGTATTTAGCCCTTTCTGTTATGAAACACCAAAAAAGACATTACAAAGAAACCTACAGATAAAATATGATTTTTTAAATCCCTGAAAATGATTTAGTCAATAGAATTGTGTATTTATAAAGGATGATACCTTGTGATCAAAAAGGTTTTGTTTTATTGAAGTATTTAATCTTAGTTAACATTCGATAAACAAATCACTATAGTTCAGTAAGATACTGTTATAGAGGAGAAAAACCCTTGTGATTATTTCTTCAGATCCAGCAAAAAAGGAAAAAAATTGACAAAACTTTGCATCCATTCCTTAGTAAAAACAGAAAAACATCCTGTTAAACAAAATTTAAAGAAAGCCATCTCAATTTAATAAAGGACATTTATTTAAATAGAATCCAACAAGCCTAACACTTACGGGACTCTTAACAGTAAAATACTACAAGCTTTCCCCTTAAGGATAATGACAAATACATCTGCATTCTCTACTTCCAGGAAATGTATCCAGTGGTCATCTGGGGTATGGGAAGTGTTGGGAGAAGGTACCAGGATTAGTTTGTGCTATGCAACTATACCAGTACTAATAAGTGATTCAACAAGAACATGAGATGCATGTGCAGAATGCAAAACTAAACTGTGTTTCTCTAAACAAACAATAATTAGAAGTAAGAAGTAATAGGGCTATGGTTGTAGCTCAGTGGCATAGCACATTAAGTTTGTGTGAGGCCTGGATTCAATTACTAGCACCGTGAAGAGGGAATATGAGGGTCAGGGTGAAATAAATAACAATAGCAGCAGAAACATAATGTAGAAATAAAAATAATAAAACATATGTTACTTATATACAGCCATGCAACAAAAGGTCTCCATATTTAGCTGCTTTAAATAAGAAACATTGCTGCAGATTCTTTGAGTCAGAAATATGAGTGAGAACAGGCTAGGTGGGTGCTGCTGGTAAATTCTCTGTCAAAAGCTCTATTTAAGGACTAAGGGCACACTCATCAAAAGATCATCTGGATGGAGAATGTGTTTCCAGACTCACATTTATGATTACTGACAAGACCCAGTCAATTGAGGGGGCTAGAGTCGAGTCTTCAGTTTCCTTCTGACTCTTGGCTGGAATCCTCCCTCAGGTACTCGTCAACTGGGTCTCTCCATAGGTGATGCCATCTTAGGGTAGCTGGCTTCTCTCAGAATGAGCTGTCCTAAAGGCCAAGGAGAGCAAGTTCTCAAGATGGCTGCCACATCCAGATCTAGTCTGGTTCAGAAACATAGGTGAAGTGCATTCAGGAAGAATTCCGAGAATTCCCAGAATACTTTCATCATGCCTGACAGTGTCACATGCCATAAGCTTCTAATGGTATAGTACATCCTAGTTTAATTTACATTATTAACTATAATTACAATGGACAATAAATTATCCAATATGCATACTTCACATATACTTATATTTTTCAATTCTAGATTCTGCTTCATGGAGTGACAGTGTGCTTCATTAGCATGATTATTAACAATATCATTTTGCCTATGGCAGTTACTAAACTAGGTAAGTCATATTAATTACTATTCTCCATAAAAAATATTCTATATATATCAACAATTTTAATTTAAAAAAGAAATTTAATCTGAAAGGCATATTAATGTCTAAGGCCAATAGTCTTATTTATTTTAAAAGATTACTTATTTATATTAGTTCAGTGTGACTACAATGACAGTATAAGTTTATATAATTATTCACTAATCACTTATAAAGATCACCCTAGATGCTAGGTACTATTCTAATTCATAGTACTTCTTTATAAAGAGAAGAAAGATTTTTGAAGAAATAGACCTTCCACTAGAGTGAAGTTAAACAGCAAGCAAATCAAGTTAACATCAGAAAGTCACATGTAAAGTAAATTAAGCAAATCGATATGAAATAAAATAGAGACTATAACAAGTACTAAAATCCCAAATGTTTGAGGAGCTGAAACTTAAAAGAATAATGCTGGGAGGTTTAAAATTGTGGAAGGCCAGCAGCAAAACACAGCTTCTCCTGCATGGAGAATCAAGACACCTACAAAACAACATAGCAAAGAGGACAAAGCTGTGAAGATCAACAAAAAGCCAACAGAAAAACTAGAAACTACAGAGAAACTGCAGAAATTAAAGATAATGTAGAAGGTTGGTGAGATAGCTCAGTGGACTAAGCATCTTATTAAGCAAGCTCAGGGACCTGGGTTTGATCCCTGGCACCACACGCCGCACCAGCCCAGGGTGCACTGAGCCAGATGCAGAAACTGGGTATGGAGACAAACGCTTGGAATCCCAGTGCTGGGGAGGCTGAAAGCAGGAGGATCACTAGGAGTTCAAGCTGCACAGTGAGACCCTACAGACCCTGTACTAAATATATTAAATAAATTAATTAATTATTTAATTAAAGACAATGCAAAGAAAACTGTGAAACAGTCTAGAAAACTGACCCTGACTCCCAACGAGGAGTTCTTGTGTCTGCAAACACAAGGCAGACCTGGAGAGTGTGAGCAATGCCACAGAAAAGCGAGGGACTGACAGTCCTTGGCCCAAAGAAGAGCTCATGGCTATTGCAGGCTGCAAATAAACAGTGTGTGGTTTTGCTCTGAAAGTGCCTCTTCCACATCACAGGCTAGAGCTGAAGAAGAAATCAACAGCACTGAACACCATATTTGAGAGTAATATATTCACAAGCTATTTTGGTAAGTGGTTTATTGTTCAAGCCTGAACTAGTCCAAGAATAATAAGCTACAGAGAAACTATAATTCAGGACCCCTGGGATCACCCTAACACAGGAACTTGGTTGGAGACAGTTGTGAAGGAGTAGGCTAGTTACAGACACCCTGAGAAATTTAAGCAACAGCAGGCTCAAGTTGTGGAGGACACAGTGGCACCACCCTTGGTGCAGGAAAAACGGGCTGATCACATATGGGTTTTGAGGGGACTAGGTCTGCAAGTGCTAATAAGTCCAGTAGACTGCTTTGTCCTTTTTGCTGCCTACTTTCAGCCCAGAGCTTAGTGGTCTGTTTGCTGTTCCCTTTTGCCAATGGGCTATGCCTCAGCTTGGGGGCGTATGAAAGAGATACCTCTGCAGCAAACAAGGGGAGCTCTCACAAGGATGCAAGCACTGCAGCAAATGCAAACCTACAATAGAAACCACGCCACTGACTGGCCAGGCCCAGCAAGAAAAGTGGGGCAGGACCCAGCATTCACATTTAAAAAGTGGGTACGGAAACAGTAGGCCCAAGCTGTGATTTACTATCTCCCACCCATATCTAGCGGATTCTAGTACCACAGGTCTTGAAAAGAAGCTTCTCATCTAAACACGTGTAGGGTTATAGGATTCATTTTTCTTATTCTGTTTGCTTTTGGAGGCTTTTTAATGTTTCTTTTTTTCTCTTTTCCTTTCCTTAGTCTTTCTATATTTTTCTTTTCTTGTTTTTGTCTATTAACTTTACCGAGTTCTATTAACTTTATTTTACTCTTTTTTTGGGATATTTCTTTCCCTTTTATCTCACCACTCTTCATCTTTTTTTTTTTTCAAAGTTCACTTTTTTCATTTTCTCTTCCTTTACCTCCTCCATTTTTATTATAATTTCTAAGCTTTATTAAATCTTAGTCATTTAGATGACCCTGTGCCATGACTGCAGAATTCTGTTGTTACTATTCATACAGTTGCTGCTTTTAGTTGGTATGTCAACTGTATGTCAATATTTGTTTTGTCTTTGTTTTTACATTATTCTTCAAGATATCTTTTCTATTTTGAGGATGATATTAATTCTTAGAGTATGTCAATAAACAGTTTGTTTTTGACTATTATCATTGATTTTTGTTGATAGTGGTTTAGTTTTTGCTTTTAGTTGAATTTTACTGCATGGAATATCTGGGGTTTTTTTGTCAGCAGCATTACTGTGATTTATTTTCTTCTCTCTGAGTAGTTCTGAGGGTCAACACCCAGAAGAAGATTGAACAGGTCCTGAGTTCAATCCCTGGTACTGCAATAAATAAATAAATAAATAAATAAATAAAGTTACAAAACTACCTAAGAGAAGCTAAGATAGAGGCAGGGAGGCTACCAGCACCAAAGAGCCCCCAGGAAAATAAATATCTTGCTGGAGAGAAAACAAAAAGAAAAAAAGAATTGGCATTGGAAAAATAACACAATCCCAGGATTCTAAAAATAACCTACAATAAATAACTCTCAAAGTCAATGATCTCAACTCTCCAATCAAAAGACACACACTGGCAGATTCCACTGAAAACAGAATACAATCACACACTATATACAGGTGACATATCTCATCCAAGATGAAGCTTAGTCTGACGGTGAAAGGATGAAAACCGGTATTTAGTTTAACCAGATCCAGAAAACAAGCAGAAGTCACTATTTTATTTTCATGTGTGTTATGGATTGTGTCTAGATATCCCCCAAAGCCTCAGGCTGTCAAGGGGTTCTAGAGTTCATGATTGCTGGCATTATAGGTGTGAGTGATACGTCCACTTGGGGGCAGTTAGCTGGCATGCAACATGGGGGAGGGAAAGAAGCTTGCTTGCCGCTGCTGCTCTTCTCTATTTCTTCTTGCTGATTTTGCTGTTTTCTGCTACCATGAACTGTTGCCCTCTGCCATGTGCAACCCTGCACTGGAGCCAGTTGATTGTGGACTGAAACCTCCATAAACTGTGAGCTAAATAAACAGTTGCTTCCTTAATTTTTGATTTTAGGTGTTCTGTCTCAGCAATGAGAGAAAAGTAACCAAAACAGAATTTTGTACCATGGTGGGGTCATTGCTATGACTATTTCTGACCATGAGGTTCAAAGATCTTTGGGAATGGCTTGTGGAAGGAATTTGGAAAGGTTCAGAAATGTTGCTGAAAGAGTAGTGCTGGAACGAACACCTTAGGCTGTTCTGCACAGGAAATTTTGGTCAGAGCTCAGAAGCCCAGAATGCTGGAACAAGAGTATCAAAAAGATAGCCTGAGAGTATCAAAAGAAGTCACAAGTCTCCATGCTTTGCATGCTCAAAATTATAAAGGTGAAAGACTGCTTTGAAAAGAAAACTTCAGAGCTTCATGTTCTAGGCCAGCAGTGGCTGCTGCAGCAGGTTTCAAATTGGTTGCGGCATGATAATTTTGTTTCTCAGAACTGGATTCAGAGTGCCCAGTAATATGGGCACTTGACCCCTACATCCAAGAGAAAAGAAAACCTGGCTACTGCTCCAGCAGACTTTCACATCATCCACATGGTGCTGATTTTTGTTGCATGCAGAATGCAAGAGTTGTGGGGTTAAAAAGATTTGTAGCTCAGTTGCAGAAGGCCTGGGAGGCCAAGCAATGCTCCACTGAAAGAGAAGTGTGTGAAGCTGTAACCAGCCTTAAGTGCTGTGGAGGCCCTAGAAGTTTGGAAAGCCCAGGAATGTGGATCATCTAAGTAAAGTTGCAAGAGAGTGGGCCTAAAACGGAAGCCAAGGGAGCTACAACCACCAGAAGTGCCATGTGGCGGGGTGGGTGGGGGGGAGGCAAGCCACTCAGAGTTCAAAATTCACCACAAATTGTCTCATATTTTGCACATGGAACTACAGGACTTAATGTTTGCACTGCTGGATTTAGGACTTGCTTTGGTCCCATTCTGTTATAGTCCCATTTGTATCTTTTGGAAAGAAAATGCTTATCTTGTGTTTTTGAATGTTGGAAGTGTTTAACTTTTCATTTATACAGGGGCTCACAGCCAAGAGTTTGCCTTACATCTTGGAGGAGGTTAGGACATGGACTTTTCAGCAATTCTGAATCTGTTACAACTTTGGCAAGTCTTAGAGATGGACTATAAAATGCCTTTTGCATAAAGGGTTGTACATGAGCCTTTGGAAGGCCAGGGGTGGAATGTTACAGACTGTGTCTAGATGTTTCCCCAAAGCCTTATGCAGTCCCAACAATTAATATATTTAGTATGCATTGCAAACATATACTAATAAAAAAGGAATAGGTGTATTTTAAGGAAAAAAGGGAACTGTGCAGCTAATCCCCCCCCGTATATTTATTTAGATAATCTGATTATGAAAGCTTAGCCCTGAGGCCTGTAGTCTGAATGCCCAAGAACTACTGGCAAGAGTGTCAGTGCTATAAGTTCCCATTTCAATATGAAAACTAAAGACTAATACCCCAGCTCAATCATCAGAAAGCATGGAGAGAAAATTCTCTATTACCTTGTATTTGTTATAGTCAAACTTCCAGCAGGTCAGATGAAGCCTGTTTACAGTGAAGAAAGCATGGTGTTTTTCTCAGTCTCCCAAAGCTACAGAATAGCATTTATAAAATATTCTTCCTTCTAGGAATAATCCCTCAGAAAATTTCTGCTTACTATTTAACCAAATATCTAATATCTGGGTGCCCTGTCTTCCAGTCAAGTTAAATCTGACACACAGATTTAACCATCACATCTCTCTTCCTCTGTTTCCTTATTTATCAAAGTAGAGTAAAGGACTCATCTCAATAGTCAATCAAAAGATAAAATATTTACTACAAGCAGTATTGAACATGTTTCCCCAGCATGTAGTAAGCACCCAATAAATATTTTATGTTATTAGGACCGGTGAGATAGCTCAGTGGACCAAGTGCCTACTTTGGCAAGTACAGGGACCAGAGTTTGATCCCCAGTCCCACATTACCATGCTGGCCTCATCCCCAGGTCATGCTGAGCCAGGGACTGAGTCTGGTCATGATGGTACATGCCTGTAATCCCAGCATTGGGGGAAGTTGAAAACAGGAAAGTAACTATGAGTCCAAGCTGTGTGGTGAGACACTATAACAACCAAATACATTATATAT